ACAAATAGTGGCCACCACCTCCTCCATCGTCTTCACTTTTTTCACATTAGCCAACAACTCACCCTTTTCCTAACCTCACAAAATCTCTGTCGATCAAGCAAACAAGCTCTTAATATTGTCTAGGTGGTAAGCCAACAATCTAGATGTATGAGGTTCATTTGTTGCTTCCCTGCAAGTCTAGAAGAATTGTGTGGGCATTCAACCCTGCCATCCTCACTTGATAGAAGTTTGCCCACTTTGCACCTGCTCTGCTACTGCTAGCAGTTCAATCAAACTTTTGTTAATGTTAGCTAGGGTTGGATCCTCACCCAAGTTTATCAAAGCAGAGTCAACTGCACTAAGAGATGACATAAAGTAAAGAGACTTAAGAAAATTAAAATCCAACAAGTAAGATCGAGGCTCCTCAAACCCGTGAGTCAATCCAACTCAGACATAATAATCAACACAAAACCCTCATCGTGTGTTGGGAGAGTACCCGTAGCCTTTTTTGCAGCCCATTCGATCGATAAGTCTTGTCCACATTCTAGATTGATGGTCTGGTCAGTCGGCTGAACAATCATTTGCTTATTGTCGAGAATCGAATTAGATGAACCCTCCTGATTTGGAAGTGAGAGGGAAACTACTATTCTCTTCTTAAGAATGACTTTCGTCCTCCTTTCAACTTTATGGCAATCCCGCCCTTTTGGTTTTCCAAAGGGAAAACAGATCAGATCTTTATTGGAGATATTACCCAAATGGTTTGATACTTTCTCCATAAAAAAAAAATTGAAAGCCAACTAATTCAAATGAGGGAATTTGCGAAGCATAATAAAAATATAAGGAGTCTCATTGTGAATTATTTATAAGAATCGAAGGAGTAAAATTTACAGGCGTTCAATTATTGAATCATTAATTAATAATAATGACAATCTACTATTGTAATAAATTCTTTAATTCTCATCACAGTGTTGCTTTCAAAAAGTAAGAGAATCAGAGAACTATAATATATACATAAAAAATGTGCTAACATTGATTACGAGGAATCTAATAGTCCAGAAGGGAAGAGTACGATGAAGAAAACCCCACCGATAGAAGATCATGAGGCATGCTCATCTGACTAGGTGAAGCAGTTCAAGATGAGCTAGCAAGGCCAAAACATACTGAACCACAAAGTGAGTGAAAGACAACCTCACGATACAAGAATGAACCACTCAACCAGAAACAAGACAAAAGGGCATCTGAGCCAACAGCCATGGGAGAGGCGATCCAAGGTTAGATCTGGTTTTCTAGTACTTTTAACCATCTCAGGGATACCAAGAAGCTTCTCATTACAGGTCAAGGAACGACAATCGAGCCATATCAACTGAGTGATCTATATCGACTATGGTTAGCTGATCAAGATGACCTCATCCAACTAAGTGGATCCCAGCTGTCTGAGGATCTTGTCGACTTGAAGCAACTAAGGATGACTAACCGAATCTGAAAGTAGTCAGGAGACGGGCTAACATAAATAAAATACCAGAAATAACCCAGTAGGGACAGCTTTAAGGCAGGGAAAAAAATGTAGCATCATTGTATAGTACAATCTCCTTTATAAATAAGGGAATTATTTTATGAATACGACAAGATTGATCATTCTCTCTCTCTCTCCTCTTCTTATGCTCAACTCCTTGGATGTGATTCACGAACAAATCAAAATTCAACTGTATTAGAATAGTAATAATTTCATGATGAGTCAAAAATCAAGTTGAGTACGATATTAACAATCACTGAGTCATTAAAATTTTTAAGAATATGAAATCCTCTATTTTAATCGATTGAGCATGTTCATATGGGATAACCTCTTCTATGATGTAATTAGCTATTGATTGCTTCCATAAGCAATCTATATCCTAAAATATAATAAACACTATCCACGATTCAAATAAATTTGATGTTGGGTTTTGATTTTGATTAAGATCTAAATTTTGAGATTTGTGCATAAAAAAATATGTAAACAAATTTATAATCGAATTGAATTTCTTCTTAAGTTTAAGGGAATGGCTTGAAGAAGGCACTTGTATCCGTAAACTTTTATTAATCTCTTAAATATCATACAATACACTAAATATTTTATCCCCTTAAACTTAAGAACATAATAGTAATTTAATATTAATTATGTTTTTAAATTAATATTCATATCTATGATAAATTTATAGTTTTAATATAGTAAAAATATTGAAACTTAAACACTTATCATGCATTGGGTTGTAAAAAACACTCTCGTTCGCAAACAACTCGTGTTCAACTCGTTAAGTAGCTTGTGTTAGATTCGTTCGTTAACATGGGAGTTGAAGACAAACTTCTTTTTAGCTCGATTTATAAATGATCCGAACACAAACTAGGGTTGATTTGTTTGCGTTCAACTCACTTTAGTTCGAAAGAATTAAATAGTTAAATAATAATATTTATTTATATCATTTTTATGATATTTTTTATACTATATTTTATAAAATGCATATAAAAGATTTGGATGATATCACCGTAAAAAGTAAAACCTATGTGCTAGACATATAAAAAAATAAAGATAAATCGGTATGCACTTGAATTCTCAAGAGAAAAAAAAATGCTAATGGTGTGTTTGGGGCAGCTTGTGCATTTCAGGATAAGCTATTTATCCTGAAACGCAGCCCGCAAGCGGGCAGCGGGGTTCGCACTTATAAGTAACCAAACGCGGTTTCGGATAAGCTCGTGAAACGCGCGAACCAAATGGTACGGCGGCATTTTGAAAACGCCGCCCGCACTTATAAGCTACCTCAGACGGGCCCTAAGTCTAAGTCTAATAGCTTCTCTCTGTCTCACTTCTCTTATATTTGTTTGTGTCATATATATAAATACAAGTTACATGATTGCCTAAAAAAGAGAAGAAAAGAAAAATCAATGCCCCCCAAAAAAAAGTCACGGCCTAATTTTCTTTTTTTATTTAGTTCCACGTGTGCCGGTTTCCTTAGAGGTATATTGGTGCTTAAATATGGGGAAACCTTAATTTTGAGCACTATAGTCATATAGCCCGCATGTGAGTTCTAGGTTTTGAGCTCTCATTTGAGCCAAACACGAGTTTAATTCGAACATTTGAGCCAAACATAAATATGATATTCATGAGTAATTTTATATACACGTCGAACACAAATAAAAATAAATTTAACGCGCCGAATATGAATAAATCTTGGACTCACTCAAACTCAGCCGGTTGACACCCTACATCTCGCATTGATTTTACAATTTATTAAGTTTTGTTTATAAAAATAAGTTAAAGTCCTATCTAAATTGTGAATATGGCACTCGGACTGGAGAAATTATTGAATACGTCTCTGCATGTGGTGTCCGATCCTGACCGTAGATCACGGTTATTTCAGTTTTTTTTTAAAAAAAAAAATTTAGATAGAGCCCATCGAAATACATCCTGACCGTAAATCACCTCGGACACCCCCAATACGTATGGAATAATTTCTCCTCGGACTGGGCCTTAGCTCTAATTAATCCAACCGAAACTGAGGATGTCAAATCGGCAGTAAGGCCGTTTTTCTGGTAACGGTAACTAATTTAAATTTTAATTTATAAAAGGGCAAAAAAGGAATATACTGAAGCAAAACTGCCGTTTCTACTCTTTTACAAATATATAATTATTATAAATTAATAACTCAAACTCAGCCGTGCGAAAAATTATTACATACGGACACCGTATGCAGAAATGTATACCGTATCCGATCTCCACCGTTCATCAATTTTTTTTTTTAATTTCAAAAAAAAATAAATAAAACAGTGCACACTGTTATACACTTGTTGTGGTAAACGATGGAGATCGAACACCGTATGTATTTCTGCATACGGACAGCTGCAGACCCGCACGGCCCACCGCCTTTTCCTAAGGCCTCACTTTCCCACGAACAAAAAAATCTAAATCGGCATCTTCTTTGAAAAAAACAATTTTTTTAATTATTTTAAGCTGAATATAGCAGTTTAAATATAAGGCTGAAATTGTCACAAAAAATTTATGGATTGGAATTTTAAAAAATAGCTAAAATGATTCTAATTTTATAAATAATAATATTTTGAGTGTTATGTATGTAATTGACACTTTATAAAATAATATTTAACGTAGAAATAAATTTATCTTGGAAATATTATAAATTATCATCCAAACTCTTAAAAGTATGCCTTACAAAACATTCTAATGATATTATTTATCCATAACTTCAATTATGTATTTAAAATATATATGATGAAATAATATTATAAATAAAAATTTTCCCACATGCTCTTCCTGCTCGCAAGCCCAACTCTGATCCCGCTGGTTGCCAGAACTCTAATCAAGTTAGAAACTGCTGATTTGAGCAGAAAGGCAGGATCTTTAGTCCATATTTGTTTCAGATTTGTTGGGTTATCTTTCTAATCTTCCTTTGTGGTGGTCTTCTTCTTTGAATTTTTTTTCTTATTTTCCGGCGAGAGGAAGATATATATTCTTTCATGCATTTGGCTGAGCAGGGGATGGCCGAAGATAGGATTCTGAGTCATCGGGTCAAGGATTTCGCTTCGGTTTCATGATTTGTTTCCTTTTTATTAGTGTTTGGTCTTTGTTTCTTGCTAAACTATGTTGGTAATGCGCCATTTTTGAAGTTGATTTTTTATGGTATTGTTTAGAGGAGTTCTGAGAATGGGGACGTCTTTGTTTGTTTGCCATCTTTGATTTCGAAAACAAGTAAATCATGCTTTTTTTCATATTTGATTTGGAGGACTTCATTTAGTGTGCAAGTTTTCATTTTTTTTGAAAATTTTCTGATATTTTTCTTACTTTTTCAGAAAATTCTTTCTTCTTTGAGGAAAAAAATAATGAAAACATAATAAAAGGTTGTCCTTTTTTTAAGTGGGACAGAGTTATGTAAGTCTAGTTTCGTCTTCTTCGTTGGCTGTCCTTGGCATGAGCGATTGCAAGATGCTGTGTGGGCAAATTTTGATGCGTGTTTTGTTGAATAATGTTAGGCTTAGAATACTATTAATTATTTGGTCTAATAAGAAAATATACACTAAAACGTATTTGTACCGAGGATGCCTAATAGTTGTTCCCTCTGTGTATATAAAATAAGCATTCTTGCTCTTTTTCAGACTCGAGGAGCAGAAGCTATTCATCCGTTGGCCTTATATAAAACTGGTTTCTTTTTCAGAATTCCTTCTTGTTTTGTATCGCATTTATTTCATAAACTTTTTTTTATAAATAAAGTTCCTTGATGAGTGATATCTGTTTTTTCGTTACCGTGTGTGCCAGAAACTGTTGGAGCTTTTTACTGATTGATTCATGGTGTTTGTCCCTGCAGATTTAATTTCGAAGACGGATTCAAAAAGGAACTTTTTTAATATCTCATCTACATTTCAATCATTCTAACCGCAACTGCATCCAAATTTCAAAGCAAGTGGGATCAGGAGGTTTGCTTCTCCTCTGCTCTCTGCTCCACCATTGTTCTGAGTATTTCTTCTGAGTTATGAAAGGATAGCCAGTTTAAAGTAGCTGATTTTTTGATCTGCCAAGTCATAAACACTTACCTATAAAGCTTTTGGTGGTGTCAGTTGTGATCTTTTGTTAGTTCTGTTGAATTGGTGGGAGCGATTTCTATGATTAGGAGAATTAAAGTTTATAACTCTTCATAATCTTCCTTTTTTTTTTTTTTTTGTTTCAGAACGCAAATATCAAATTTATGGCTATGTTTGCCTGTTGGTCTACCTTGCTGGTAAGGAGGAAGAAGAAATCCAATGTGAGCAACAATAACAACTTCGATTCCACTTCTTTCTCGTTCTATTTCAACCTGTTTGCTAATTTCGAAGTCTTCTTATATAGAGATTTTCTAATGTTGCGGATGGTAACAAGAAGGGAAGTAGCAATGGTGACCTTCGGGTTAAGCCCATTAATCCTGTTAGCCCTTCCACTGAAAATGGAATCAAAGCGCACTCTTTAACGGTCTCAAAATCATTTCTTTCTGTAAAAGAAAAAACTCTTTCCATTCCTAAGGTTCTGAGTGATGATAGCTTGGCAAGACCTGAGTCTACAGGGGATGCAGCTTATGAGGCAGGTGATGAGCATGAGATGGTTCTATCAACAAAAAAAGAATGCTCTCACTTAACTCTCCAACCCAAAGGGGAACTTGTTTCCCATGGACCAAACACTGACTTAACCAACTATGTATTTGAAAAGATGGAGACAGATAAAGAGATTGAGACAAAGATTGGAAGTGGGCATGTTAGTGACCCTGGAATGGAGAGGACAGCTTTCTTAGAGTCTCCTGTGCTTAAGCGCTCATGTTCAAACATTGAGACCAAGCTGGCTAAACAAAGGTTCAAGTCTCCAATAAGGTCAAGTTCTTACAGTAACCTCCAGGACCAAACAGGAAAAGCAACCGTAGAAATCACTTATGAAAATCACCATAGTCCATTATCTGTAAGATCCTCTTGCAGTGCAGATCATGTGATGCTAAAGAGACGGTCTTCGAGTCAGGTTCTTCCCTCCAGAAGCAGAAAAATCTGGTGGAAACTCTTCCTTTGGAGCCACAGGAACCTCCACAAGCCTAGAGCTCCTCAAAGGCAGATTTCCATTCTCAGTGCTCCCGTTCAGAAGGAGGGATATTCTTCTGATACTTTTGAACCTGGCCATAAGCTTGACAAACATAATTGGAAAGCAGCACAGCCTGAGAACCAATGGGTCGCGTTCTCTGTAGGATCTTCGCGTATGGACAGAGTTAATGCTTGGATAAATAGCCTTGAGGATTGTTCATTCTTACCTGTTAATGTTGATGAGACAGACGATGGAATTGAAGATGAACAGATAGCTGAGCTTCATCACTTGGAGAACGAAGAGGCCTCTGAAAAAGTATGTTCTCATACTTGTCGTCGCGAAGCGGAAGATGTGGCACAAGCTAATAGTATTATCCAGTCCTTAAACACATTCTCTTCTGTGGCTCATATCTCGGGTATTGGATTGAAGGTTATTCCTTCTATTTCCTCCTTTGTCTGCCTTAGATCTGTTAATCTCTCTGGCAACTCCATAGGTTTGCACCTCAAGTATTGAAAGTGATCATATGATTATTTTGCCATTATAGACAGTTAAGCTATTACTTTCTTTGCAGTTCACATTACATCAGGATGTCTTCCTAAGAGTCTTCACACCCTGGACTTGTCTCGGAACAAGATATCAACAATTGAGGGATTCAGAGACCTTGAAAAATTGAGAGTTGTCAATCTAAGCTATAACAGAATCACAAAGATTGGTCATGGTAAGCGTATAAAAGTATTTCTAGTAAATGTCTTTCCTTTTTGTTAAAATATGATTTACATTGAAAATTAAAAATCAGGTCTTTGTAATTTTGCAACGCAAGCTAAGTTTTAATTTATCAGAAGTTCAGTGAAAGTTTTTTTTTTCCCCTTACAAGTCATTGATGAGTATAAATTTATAAGATTAGAAAGGCCCGGTAAAGTAATAATTTAATGATTTCAGAGATATGTAAGGAAAAAATTTTTATGATTAAAATGTCATCAAGATGGACTTTTAACATTTAGATCTGCTTTAAAATTAGTGCAATGTTTAACTATTTATATGTTGCATTAGTCTCAAAGGAGATGCAATGGCTTCGAGGTTTATTTGATCAAAATTTTCATCACTATACCCTGAAATAATTTCTCTCTTTCCAAATGCAATATCCAAAAATCCACATTTAGATTGTCGACACCTAGCATTTCAGTCGTTGGACCAATAAAAACTCTCACATGCAAAAGTGTACCATACCCAGCATAATTTAATTGGTCCCTCTCATCGAGTGTGATATGGCTTCGCTGTAAAAGTAGATCCTTGCCAAGTGCAGCAGTAGCATAATAAGCTTTAGATGCTCAAAAATTTGAAAGGATGGAAATTTCATTTAAATATTGTTTGTGTTAATTATGTTGGTCACATTCTTTTGTATTATGAGCCATCAGAATTCAGGCATACTCATGTGCTGCTACTTGAATTATTGTCCTTTGTTATTACTTTATCAATTAGAACACAGAATTTTTGTTTCTGGACCCATTCCGCAGTCCTTTCAGAATGCTCAGCTTTGAAAGCGTCCATTATGAATGTGATGACTTCCTTGACCATCCAGAGTCCTGATTTCTTATTCTGAAACTAGAAAATTTGAACTCCTAACGGTACACAAACCTTAATTATTTTTCTTTGGCAGAGAATGACCTTCTCATCGCCGTTCATTTAGTTGAGATCTTCATTATCTGCCAGCATGATTAACGACTTTAGAGTCTAAAAAATTTCTTGATCAAGAGTTCTCCTAATCACCATTTCTATGTTATATAAGTAACAACCTAAACTCTTACTCATCTAGATAATGTCCGCTGTAGGCTAATAGCTTCACGGTTTTGTCTAGTTACTGTAACTTCTCATATGAACATGCTTAACTTTGAAGTTTCCGATGAAATTCCAACCATTATATCAAAAGGCATCTCAAGTTCAAATTCATTCTACAAGGGAGTTTCATAATACGTAATAACTGATGTCTTCTTTATTATTCTTAGCCCAAATTAACCTACCAGTCAGATAGGATTTTAGAGGTGAGCCCTACTTTCTTCAATAGGTGGCTCCCACCTTATATCACTTTGACTAATTTAGGATTTCAGCGGTGGCAAAAATAGCTTAACAGGTAACACTTTATTTTATATGACATTTAGTTCTCATTTTTAAGTGAGCATGCATCGCGCTCTGATACATTTGTAATAGCTTGAACTTTTACTCATCAAGATATTGTCTCCTTTGGCCAAATGTCTTCATAATTTTGTTCCTTTGGCCTAGCTTCCTATGACGTCATCCATCTAAAAAATGCTCACATACATTTGAAATATTTTTATGAAATTCCAACCGTTATACCAAATGGCATATTCATGTTTAAAAGTTTAGCTTCATTCTACTTAATAAAATGTTTCACAATATATTTTCTTTTTCTTGTTTGATAAACATATCACTTAACACCTAAAACTACAAAAACCTAATCATCTTCTCTTTTTTTTATTCAGGACTATCGAGTTGCACTGTAATAAGAGAGTTGTACCTTGCCGGCAATAAGATTAGTAATGTTGAGGGGCTTCACCGTCTTCTAAAGCTTACAGTACTTGACCTCAGCTTCAATAAGATAACTACAAGCAAGGCTTTAGGCCAGCTTGTTGCAAACTACAACTCTCTCTTGGCTCTCAACCTCCTAGGCAATCCGATACAGACAAATATTGGAGATGAACAGCTGAGAAAGGCAGTTGTGAGCCTTCTGCCTCATGTTACTTATCTGAATAAGCAGGTTATCAAGCCCCACAGAATGCGGGAGGTTGCGACGAAAAGTGTAGCCAAGGCTGCACTTGGAGATGTTGCAAGATGTTCCAGAAGAAAGTTGACCAGAAGATTGAGCCAAGGTTCGGGCTCCTCAACCAAAAGCAGAGTTTGTGGCAAGGGAAGACACTCAAGCTCTGGTCGGAAGTAAGCTCAGTAAGCACAGTGTGAGAACTTTCCTTCCCTGTTCTAGTTGGAAATTGCAACTGGCAGATTTCTCTTTCATGCATATGGCAAGCTTTAGCTGGAGAATAAAAGGGGTCGTAGTTTTCTTCTTCAAGATAAAGATTTTGCGTCGTTTAAGTATTTTATTGAGAACTCATGTCCTACTTCATGTAATTTTTTTGATGTAATAATATGTGTCCTTGTATAAAACTATAGCATTGTTCCTCACTATTATCTGGCTGGCTTTTTGGGCTGGATGAATTTTCGTGTAAAATAAGCATATAGATTGTAGGGACTCGTGATATGTGAAGAAAGCTGCACAGCAAATGGAATTTTTTAGTCAAAACTGTGAATTTGGAGAGTTCGGTATGATGTATATAATGCTTTTCAGACTAAAACTATAATTTTTTTCCCCCCAAATAAGCCTCGTTTTCCAGCCATATCCAAAATCCAGATAACTGCTATGGTGGCCTGAACATACACTAATTATCTTGAGAAGTATATCAGAAATGTGTTAGCACTAATCTGGAAGAAAACCAATGACCATAAGACATGAAACTACAGTCATGATTGCCCATAGAAGCAAAAGCAAAGATCCCATCATCAGAAGATCAAAGACCAGATTGGTCAAGTACAAGTCCTTTGGGTTGGGACTTGAAGTCGGCGAACGAAAGTTGTCCGAGCCAAAGATTAAGATCTATCAAGCCAAGAGAAGGCATCGGCCCAACTCTCGCCCTAGCATCACCAGCTGCCTTACAAGTGTCTTCACGACTCTTCATCGAGATGCTGAAGGTTCTCACCATCATAAACTCCACGAATACCTCAAAGGAACCTTTTATCAAGGGGTGAGCTACTTGTCGAATTATTTTGACTCACCCTCTGCTTGATAACTTAGTCTCATCCTAACTATAGAAGCTCCTCATCTAGGGTTTGATAGTTGACAACAAGACAAAGCAGCCGACCAGTTGACTCGAGCCGGTAGAGCATGCATGGATGATCGAAAATCAAACAGAGTCGAACGACAACCCCCAAGTCAGCATAGTTGGCCAAAGGAGCTTTGCCGATCTAAGGCCTGCCAATCTCTGCTGACCAAGTGATAGGGTAGTCAGGTCATAGGTTGATGTATGTAAATACACAAAATATCCTATAAGACTCCCATTAAAGTAGGGGTAATCATGTAATTATGCACACGAGGGTCATTTCTATGGTAAAGTCTAATCAATGAATCAATCAGAGAATCAACAGAAGTTCTCTCATTCTAATGTTCATTGATGCGCTCTCTCTCTCTCTCTCTCTTTCTCTCCCATATTCTACACTCTATTCTTTGATTATGATTCACATGAAAGATTCGGATTCAACATCCTATAAAGTACGATGAGCGTGGAACATGTCAGTAAAAAGAAGAGGAGCATCACAACGAAAAAAAACTCACAAGAGATACAATGCAAACTTGGAGTGCACTAGAGAGTTTGTGCAACAACAAATCCTAGAGCTAAAATACCAGATGACGGGTTAGATGTTGGAGGCCATCTGAGAAGCAATAGCAAGGGGAAGGGAGCAGAACCCCTAGGAGAGGAAGGGTCGGCACACAACAACTAAAAGGTAACTCGAGTCCCCGACAGAGTAGGAGATTCTTGGTACCATACAATGTTGGGTTTGTGTTGATGGATAAATAGCGATTCAGATGTACTAAGGTGCCCCGTCGGCCAAAGAATATGTTTTATCGATAAATTTGTGACGTTGAGCACCCATAAAATCTCAAAATCTCCTAGTTGGAGTCGTATAAGGGTCAAACTGATTTGGCCAACCATATTGCCTCCTTTGAGTCGACCATTTGGCTGCTAAGAATTACTGGCGCTTTGAAAATATCGATTGTTCTTCACCACACTAAGGGAGTCGGCCCTCAGGTGGTTTATGGATTGTCGACTGGACTTATCACCTCCTTCACCGACTGTAAGAGAATGTTTGTGGCGCAATTCACCAACTCCTAAAAAATCCAGAAGAGTTTGCAGGCCCTGCTACAAATCAGGCAGGGGAAAAATAAGAGCCTTCTCTCATTTATCACAAGACTCCAAAAGGAGATTTTAGAGGTGGGGGATATAGAAGCTGCAGTCGCACACGCCGTCCTAGCTCATAGTTTAAAGGAAAGACCCTTCCACTCGGCTCTCGGTCTCCAACGACCAAATATATTAGCCAAATTGTTGGAGTTGGCCAACAATCACACAATAACCTTTCGGCCGAAGAATACAACTCCACCCCAGCGCTCGCCAGAGCAGAATGAATCACCCGTCATCTATATAAGAGGGCCCCCAAGGACGACAAAAAACGATTAAGATGACTCACATCCATTCACTCGACAATGGTGTGAAGACAATTAGCCACCCTGTGAGAACATGGGTGTCGGTAGGAACCATAATTGAGGAATTCATGCATGGTACTCTGACCAATGATGGGCTCGCTGCCATGAGCGACCATCAAACAATCATGAGACCACAAAGGCCAATCTATTGAATGTCTTGATGTTGAAGCTGGCAGAGGTCATTCAAAATAAAAATAATTAAAAAATTCACCATTGATAAAAGCTGAAAATTTTCTCTGAAGCACAAAGAAGTAATGTGTCAACCACAGGGATCATGGCCATGACAAAGAGGAATGCAAACACCACCTGAGTCTAACAAAGGAGTTGATGAGAGATGGAAAGCTCAAGGAATTTGTGGCACTAGGAGCAGTGACCCAAAGGCAAGGGAAAACTCTAATAGAAGAAATCTCGAATGAGCCAGTTAGAGAGAATCTCATCCACATCGCTGGATTTATAATAACTTTTTTCGAAGGTGGAGAATCATCCCAACGAGTAAGCTGAAGAGGCTCCACTCAGGAGAACTATATGCAGCTCCCTTTGCTCTAAAGCACCGTACACATCCACCTATCACTTTCACTGATGTAGACTTGCATTCAAGAGGAGATTCTTACAATGATGACATCGTTGTTAAAGTGATGATAGAAAACTATCAGATAGGTAGTATTTTAGTCAACATTAGCAGCTCCGTGAACATCCTATTCAAGTCAGTACCTGACAAAATGAACCTCCCAACTGACTGGTTAGTGGAACTGACCTGCCCAATCTATGGCTTCTCTCACAAGAGGATCGAGGCCTTAGGAGTTATGGCGCTATCAGTCAATTTGGGAGAATGTGAGAAGTAGTTCACCTACATGGGGGACATCATGGCGGTGGTTCACCGCCAACCTACACCGCCATCTTCGATCATCCCCTGCTCAATAATTACAAAGTCGTGGTCTTGGCATATAATGTGGCGGTGAAATTTCCTGGTGACGAAGAGATTGTTACCATTTGGGGAATTTGGAGCAGTCCCAGACCTACTACCTCCGAACAGTCGGGAGTGTGGAGCAGAGGCCGCTCGACCAAAAACACCGGTGCATAAGAGGTCTTGAGACCATACCACAGTTGAAATCCCCATGGTCAACAAAAAACCCGATAAATATTTCTTAATAAGTGAAAATTTTGATGTGGGGTCTAATGATTAGTTGATCAAAACCCTTCGAGAGCATCAGGTTGTATTTTCCCAGTTAGCAGCAGAGATGTCAGGGATCCCACTCGACATTGCATACCACTGGTTGAATGTGAATCCAGCATCCGACTCGACATTGCATACCACTGGATGAATTTGGTTGGACCAATTCGAGGGGAGGAGCAGAAATTGAAACAAGCTGACTACATCTTGAAGGTAAAATACCTGACATATGTCTCCAACGTAGTGATAGTGCAGAAGGCCAATGACAAGTGAAGGATGTGTGTGGATTTCAACAACTTAAACACTTCCATGAGCTTCTTAAATGCTTCCTCAGGCTACCGCAAAATATAGATGCATCAGACTGATGCAGAGAAAATGGAGTTTATATTACCGAGGATGTATATTGTTATAATATAATGTCATTTGGATTTAAAAGTACTGGGGCTACCTACCAATATCTTATGGATGTAATATTTTCTAAGAAAAAAGAAAAAATATTAAATTGAATGTGGATGATGCATTGGTTAAAGTCAATCGGCCAAACAGCACATAAACGATTTAAGAGAAACATTTGAGACACTCAAAAAATATAATATGAGATTAAATCCACAAAAATATATTTTCAGGATATCAACAAGCATGTTTCCCTATTTTCTCTTGGCCTTGGAGGGAATAAAAGCCAATCCGAATAAAGTATAGGCATTATTAAATATGTCTTCCCCTTGGAACACCAAAAAAGTCAACAAGTTGATCGATTGGATTGTGGGTCTAAGTAGGTTCATTTCAAAGTCAGGCAACAAATGCATAGTATTCTTCAAAACACTCAAGAAGGCGAAGAACTTCAAATATTCGGTTGAGCATGAGAAAACATTTGTGAAGTTGCAGGATTCTTTGGCGTCACCGTCATTGCTCCAAAGTCCAAAGTTGAACGAAGAACTCTTTCTATACTTGGGAGTTGGACATGAGACCATCTCAATACTAGTTTGAAAGAAGTTAGGAAAAATATTCCCAGTCTATTGCACCAGTCATGTCCTCAAAGGCACTGAGATTAGGTATTCGATTATGGAAAAGCTAACTTTTTTTATTGTATTTGTTCGAAGGCTTTAGCCATACTTCCAGATGCACTCGATCTTGGTTATCACAGACCATCCGATGAAATATGTTCTCACTCGGCTGGAGCATTCAGGTCTGCTCCTCAAATGAGATGTTGAGCTAAGTGACTTTGACAACTCCTACGTCCCACGGACCGCAATCAAGACGCAAGCAGTAGTGAACTTTTTGGCATATTTTTCTAAATCATGTGAGTCGAACGAAGGGTCCATGGCTGACACCAAGGCTTGTGTCTTTTATATCGATGGAGCCTCTAACCAGACGAGGGTGGTGATCAGACTTGCTCTAAGTAATCCGACTAGAGAACACCTCTATCATTCATTCACCATAGAATTTGACGTCACACATGATCAGGCAGAGTGTGAATCCCTAATAATCGGCTTGCAACTAGCTTATGAAATGGGTTTCTGACATCTCGACGTGAAATCAGACTTCCAGTTAGTGGTAAATCAAGTGAACGTGGATTCTGAAGCCAGAGATGAGATTATGGCTAAATACTTTAGCAAAGCAAAAATGAAGATATGGAAGTTTGTCAACTTAAAAATCGAGCACATCGCCAGGGAGGATAATAAGGTGGCTGATCTTTTATCCAAGTGCATCCATTTGGGGAGAGAAATCCTCAAAGACTATCCTGGCCGACAACTGAAACCCCAAAGCAATGACAGTGAAGGTTGAAGGAGTATAAAATTGGATGGATCCCTACATCTACTTTCTAGAGACTGGAAAAATTGTTGAGGAGATCACCAACCCCAAGAGATTCAAATGCAAACAA